AGGATGTTTAAAAGTGATGATAGGGTTCGTATATTTAGTAGCTGGATTTCGTTTCGTGTTTGGAATATTGGTTTAACTTTATGAACGTTTAAATCAAGTTTGTTTAGGTATACAGTGAACGTTGTTAAAAATAAACCATGTCAAAGATGCGGGAGTTAGAGATTATAGAAATTCAGGATTCACTTGGATTAGAAGTTATTTAAAAAAAACAGGATTCGAATAAAAAAATGTCAGGATTAAACGAACCTTAGATGAGTTAGAAAAATGATTCATTGGATCTAAAAGGCATAGAGAAGTCAGGAATTATTGAATCTAGAAGATCAAGATTCACTGGGACTTAAGAAATAAAAAACAGCATTATTCGTAACTTAAACTTCAGGATTAATTGGGATTTAGAATATATAAATAGTCGGAATACACTGGAGTCTAGAAGATCAAGATTCACTGGGACTTAAGAAATAAAGAACAGCATTATTCGTAACTTAAACTTCAGGATTAATAGGGATTTAGAATATATAAATAGTCGGAATACATTGGAATCTAGAAGATGTAAGTTTTAGTTATGTGTTGTTTTATTTTCTTGCTTTGCTGGTCAAACCGTTCGGGTTCTATCAGAGGATTAAACATTCTCACATAATAAGGTTTTTAACTCAAGAAAATATAAAATACTATAAGTTTAACACCAAGTTTCGGGTCGTATAGCAAGACGACAATCCTAGAATAATTATGATATGCAATAATGATACAGATATATCCAATTCAATAGTTGTTGTTTCAGAATGAAGATTTAACACGTGGGCTAGTCAAAATGGTGGATTGCATGTGCGAGCCCCCCAGTGACACAGCGGTATGTCTGCGGACTTACAACGCTAGAATCCGGGTTTAGATACCCGTGGTTGGCAGAGCACAGATAGTCCATTGTGTAGCTTTGTGCTTAATTACAAACAAACAAAGCATGCGCGAGAGACGAGCATATGGGCTGTTTAAAATTAGGGAGTTGATTTGGCTACATACCACGTGACTGGCTCAAACTACACACCCCTAGGGGATGACTTGAAATATATCGATATTAACATTCACAAAGTCTGTGACGTTAGTGTAACTATCAAGGAAAATCTGGCTAACTTAAAACACCAATAATTATCTTCATGATGCCGCACATTACAATCTGTGTTACTGTGTGTATCTGTTAACAGATATATCTTGCTGTTGTTGTCAGAAGGTGAAAGACAGTTATGATAGTGTTAATGCTTATTTGTTGGTAAACACAAAACTACGCTGCTCTCTCCACCACGGGTATCGAAACCTGGTTTTTTAATGCATGATAATAAGCCTTTAGACTTACCGCTGAGCCACTAGGGGGACTGTTGTTACTACTCTTGTCTTAAATGCTTTGTTTGACACGCTTTTACTACAAAGTCGAATTCACTGAAGCCGGAGAAAAGGGGGAGGGGATAGAAACAGCAACTAATAATGCAGTATTTCCCTCCTTTGAAATCAGGTTATTAATATTATTGGCGCGAGGCGCACACTAAGCTTGAAAACCAGTTTATTCAGCTGTATTCGTATCTTAATTTTGAGAAAAAATAATATCCCTCTCTTCATACACTCTGATTTAGCGCGTCCTGATTTTCAATCCATTAAAGAGTATTACAGTACGGAAAAACCATCTTTTCAACTCAGGTTAAACTCGGCAGCCAATAAAACAATCGCTTACTTTATATCTCAGGTTGGGCACAACAGCCAATAAAACAATCGCTTACTTTATATCTCAGGTTGGGCACAACAGCCAATCAAAAAATTGATTATTATTATTTTTATTTTTTTGCGTAGATAGCACCTGTTTAGCTTTGCGCGAGCCCCC